TGAGAAACTGTTAGCAATTTTTTGGAAAAATTATTTACTTCACAGAAGACCCAGAAATCGGTGTCATCAAGGTTTGCACACACCTGATTCCTTGTTCCTAACTTGTCATTGTTACCCCTTTGCTTTCACAGTCTTCTCATTCTGTAATTTGGCCCTATAATTTGGTTTTTGACCTGTTTCCTGCCTAATAGCCCATGCCCACCCCTATAGCCTGAACCCTAACCAGCAAGGGAGACCTATGCTTACAGATAGTTCAATTCTACAATGGCTACCTGTACGCTGGGCTCTCAGTAGTCAAGGTTTTCTGATTTCCTTGCTACTGATCTGACTGGAAAATGACTATTTTCTTCACTGCAAATTAGATGGCAACACTCCTCAAAAATGGATCCCCCAAAATTCGTCATCCTTTTACCATCAGCATCTGTATCTGAGCACTTCCCCTATGTCATTTCTTCCCCAGAAAACAGATTTTGTGCTAACACCCAAACATGTGAAGGACAGATTTTCTGCTCTGTCCTACTCTAGAAAGACCATGAATATTTGGCATGAAGTTATCCCAGGATGTGGCATTATGGTAGGAATAATTCTAAACATTAGAATTATGTTCTAATTGATGGGAGAATCTGCCCTGCCAAGAGTCCCATCCCCTGATTATTTAAACACTAATCTAGGCACTGTTAGAAGATATAATTAAGGTTACTAATCAGTTGACCTTAAAATAGCGAGTTTATCTTGGATTATCTGGGTGAGCTCCACATAACCCTATGAAGAGAAAGATAGAAGAATTAGTTTTAGAGATACATTAGAGGAGGAAGAAGAAGAGATGTAGCAGAAAGAGGAAGTCAGATTCCAAGCAGGAGAAAGATGTGACTGTACATGTTACTGGCTCACAGATGTGGGAGCCCACAGGCAAGAACCTGAGAAGGGTTTCTAAGAGCTAAAGGCGTGGGATGCCTGGGTGGCACAGTCGGTTTGGCCTCCGACTCTTGGTTTTGGCTCAGGTCATGATTTTAGGATCGTGGGATTGAGTCCCTTGGGCTCCGCGTTCAACACGGAGTCTGCTTGAGATTCTCTCTCTATCCCTGCCTCTCCTGCTTGTGTGCACTCTCTCTCTCTCACATAAATAAACACATCTTTAAAGAGAGAGAGAGAGAGAGAGAGAGCGCTAAGGGCAAATCCCAGCTGACAGCCAGCAAGGAAATGGAGATCTTGGTCCTAAAACCATGAAGAACTGGATTCTGCCAACAACCTGAAGCATCTTAGAAGGGGATTCTTTCCCAGAGGTTCCAGATAAGAGGCCAGCTCTTGATTTCAGTTTTGTGAGACCCAGAGCAAAGAAATCTATGAAGCCATTCTGGACATAAGACCTGTAGAACTGTGAGTCATAAATTTGTATTGCTTTAGGCCATTAATTTTATGGTAATTTGTTATGGCAGTAGTAAGAAACTGCTTCCAGACGTAAAATACACTCACACAATTTTTTGTGAAAAAACAATTTTTTCCTTAGGAACACGATACCTGTGGTTAAGTTTAGCATCAATATTCTTTTTTATAAACACAGTGAGGAGTTTATCTTTCTTATAGTTCCTCTACCACTTAACTATTAGCAGCTTTTTGTAACCCTATATTTCTTCATTCATCATACAGTATTGAGTGTCTCCTACGTCCAAAGGTCTTTAGCATCTACAAACAATCTCTGCCTATGGACTCCTCCTTGTATGGAAGATGAGGTGACCTTGACAGAATAAAGTCTAAATCCCATAACATGGCATGCACAGTGTTCCATCATCTACCTTCTGCCTGTAATTCTCCACTTATCCGCTAAGATCCAGCCCCACATGACATCAGCATCAAACCGTTGCTTTCCTTTCATGCCTTTGAAACTTGGAACTTACAGTGTCATACCTCAAGGTGGCTTTTCCCTCTCTCTGGAACTCTCCTCCCCCAGATATCCAGATGGCCCTCTCACTTCCTCAATTTTTGCCACATTTTGCTTTTAAAAAACTTCTACCCTGATCATTCTACTGACCCTTGCAAACTACCTCACCTCCACACTCCAAATCACCCTTATCCTTGCACAAATATTATTCCATAACACTTAGCAATTTCTAATGTACTATATTACTCATTTATTATATCCGTTGGGTGTTGTCTCTCTCTTTCCCTGATAAAATATAATCCTTTTATCTGAAAGTGACTTTTATCTGTTGTGTTCACTGAGTGATCCCTAGCACCCAGAACAGTGCCTGACTCATAGTAAATAGACCCTTTATAAATATTTGTAGAGCACTGAATGAACCTTTTCAAGGCTACAGATTTTTAATAGTTACTTGTAGGGTAGAGTTTGGCAGAGCCCAGTTAATGTCCATGCAAAGTGGAGGATTAACTGAGAGACGCACTGGTCACTTCGTTAAGACCAGGAAACAGGCCTAGGACTCTACAATTTTTAAGTGTCTGGTATGCTCAGTGTTCTTCTAGAACTGGCCTACAAATATGGAGAGCATTGCTGGACAAGTTTTGGTGAAATAAGGGTCAATCTTGCACTTAGAGAATACTACCAAAAATGAACATCCTTTGAATTCTTGAAAGAGAACAGAATAGTTTGAGTCTCACTCATAAATTCCTTTCCCCAATTGTCCCTTTATATTTCAATAAGGACAAAAACAATGCTGAATTGAATGCAATATTTATTACTGCTCTAGTGCTATTCCTATTGGATGCCAGTATCCTTTCCAATACACCCTTCAACAGTTTCTTCTTGTCTTTTTTTTTTTTTTGAAACCATTTTTACCTTGCTATTCACATACCAAGAATGCAAGGATGAAAACTATATAAATTAGAGAAGACTTTTTCTTTCTTGTTGTTACAAATCCAAGTTGTTCACTTTGAGGTTATTCTTTAATATTTTCTAATTGCTGACTCATTATTCTAAGTTGTATCTAGGAGAAAAAGTTTTGCAACAGCTATCAAGCACCTACAAAGCCACATATGGCTCCCCATACGTAAGCCAAAGCCACAAATTGATATTTATAAAACTTCAAAAGTTTAAAGCGAATCGTCTGGAATATGTGGCTGAAAAGTACTAACACTGTCAGTGACAAGGAGTTAGTGTGCTTACTGGTAAAGAAATTCTAGCTCATGCTGGCCTTGAACAACATGCTTGAACTTGCCCACCATTTAGTAGGTTATAGTTTGCCAACTTTACAAAGGAAAGGTTTATTAAGGAAAAATTTCAACCTCTCCATCTTTAGCCTTCTGTATCTTGTCCAAAGTTGTTTTGCCAAAGCCAAAGCTTTAAGGGCTGGGCTCAATTTCTCCATTTTAAATAGGGACCACAAATAAAACTGTCAACCAGTAAGAATAAATGTAGTGAGCTTCTTGCCCAAAGTGGTAGACTTAGTTTGGCTAGCAGTGCCAGGGCAAACACATCCATAGGGCTCATTCAAAGACTGACACATTTTGACTCGGTCCCAACAACAACAAGTGGAAAAAAATCAGTCCTCAAATCACCTCCTTGTGGGTTTGCATGTTTTAAGTTATGCCTGCTGCTGAGACCTAACTAGCAGCTATTTCAGACATGTTTTCATCCCCCAAATCCCAAAATGGATCTAATCACAGAGTTTAGTACTTAAAAGCACAACAAGCAAACATGACCAATTTTCCCTTAAAGCTGGAGGCATAGCAGATAAACAAAGATAGCTTGAAACTCAACATGTTTAGGCATGAAGGATGAAGGAATCAGCGATTTATTTCAAAAATCCATGAAAATTCATTTTTTAAAAAAACTTCAAATTTGCCTGGCAAATTTCAATTTTAAAAGCAATCTCGACAGTCTGAAAACTCTATAATAGATGTTCCAAAGGGTACTCGCAGTAGAACAATTGATATTACTACCAAACATTTGATGTTTGCATTTCCTAAGGTAATGGTTGTCAGTACTGACTATTAGAATGGCCTGAGGATTTTTTTTTTCTTTTTTAAATCTGATGCCCATGCTCTACCCCAGAACAATTAGACTAAGAATTTCTGTGAGTGAGGTCCAAGTGACTCTAAAACTCAGCCAGGGCTGTAAACTGAGGTCTATAGACAAAGAGAAGGTAATAAGAACTGTGAGAAAAAATGTTTTCCACTCTTGCCTGATGATCAGTGTCTCCTAATACCCACCCAGACTTACTATGTGGGCCATCCTCTGGGAAATGTATTTTTAAAGAACAACACAATAATATTTATCATCCGGAATCTGGTCCTGTAAGGAGAAATGTGATCCCTTCAGAGATCTGTGGAAAGCACTTGAGAACAAAATGTTATTTAACCTGACCTCCATATCACCACCTGAGCCTTTTCAGGAAGGGTAAAGTCTACATTCACCGAGACACACTCTAGAGAAAGCTCAAGTTTACCCTCATATTTTCAGTGCACGCCCAAGGAAAAGGAGATGTGAAAAAAGTCAAGAACAAGAGAGTCCTCAGAGACACTGAGCCAAGCTATTAGAGGACCGGTGGAGATTTTAGTGGGAAGAATTGGATTGGAGCAAATCCTGTGTCATTTTCTTGTCCTCCCATAGAGTCACTCCGTTCACATCACACCATGTGTTCTGTTCACTCTCCTTTGTGTATTGAGCCAGGGCCTGGATCACCTTCACTGTAGCTGGTACCTCCAACTTCACAAGGCCTGAAGACACATATGATTTGACCATTTAATAGAATACTAAAAGACAGTTGTATCAGTTTAAATGGCTGCATTCTACTGTCTACTTGTTTTTACTATTTTTTCTATTCTATTCTTTTATTTTTAGTAATTTGTTTTACTCTTTCCCCTTGCAATACTGTGGTATATAGCAGTATTCATTTAATATCCCTCTAACACACTGTAACCATAAAGAGAGCAAAGATAGGCTTTCCCACTGCGTCACTGAATTCTCTACATAATCTGCCCTTTGTGACATCAGTGGCAATGCCCAGTGGACCAATAGAGAAGCTGGTAGGCACAGTAATGTTCTGCAACAGTCTGGAGGGATATATTTGTACTAATAGGACATGGCAATACCAAGGACTGCACGGTGAGAGATGCAGATCTTATCCCAAACCTGAATATCTGTTGAGAAAAGAGCACCTTAGGAACAAATGGAGTAACCACTAGAATATTCTCAGGCAAAACTTTGTTGCAATTTGAACAAGACTTGAGGTTCTATGAAGAAGGTGAAGGCAAAAGACAAAAATTTTAGAGGTTATCATACTCAAGGTACCCTTATTTCTACCCAAAGGCAAAGGAGGCACAAAGATACATGAATTTAATCAAAGCTTTTTTTTTAAGTAGGATATTATAATATATACCAAACAATTTCAGTTTTGTTGGAGAAATCTGGGTGCATATTTTAAAACTTTAATGATGTAGGAGACATTGTTAAGTGATTATCTCTGAGTAGTGGGATTATGAATGATTTTAGGGGTTTTTTTTTTGCTTAATTTTATTTCCTAAATGTTCTACAAATGAATATTTATTTTTGCAATAAGATAAAATGTTAAAATTATAAAAATATTGATTGTTCAAATTTTATTTGTATACTATAGATCTGTGGTTTAAGAATGTTAAGTTTTTAAACCTCATAATCTGAGGTAATTTGGTTTTAAGCCATTCACATAGTGACAGCTTGTTAAAGAAATAAATGTGTATACTATGGAACTCAAGTTATACTTTAATCTAACAAGGTAGAGGAATAATTAAGTATTCATTATCAAAATACAAAAAAGTTGCAGGAATTTTTTGCTAAATACAAAAATTTTTCTATAATAATTATTCACTACATTAGCTAATATTTTTTCACTCCTATCTTATTCCATTAATCTAGCTTGTCTCACAAAGCTTTAATATTGTCAATATCATTGACTGTGAATAGATGCAAGACTCTTTAGTTCTGGGACCCAAATCCTAGCACTAACTCAACTGTCCAGCATGCTCACCATCATAGGGAAGGGAATGGGATGACTTGAGAACAATTGTTTCAACTAAAAGTCATAGTTTTTAAAGGCACAGTAGAAAAATCCATGGTTCTATTCAGTTATTCCTTTAAAAAAACAGAATTTCATAATATACTACATTATAATCCATCACTATATTAAATTAAATGATTACCCTTTGACCTTATTTAAAACTAATTAAGGTATTTTAACGAGTAACTATTAACTATTAATATTCAATTCTTGTTACATGTAAGAATGACATGCAAAAAAAGGTTATATCTTGAGGATTTCCATTATAATTCATATTTTCTCTTTGTTAAGCAAATACTGAAGGTTTTGTAATCACAACTCAATAGATATTTTAAGAGAGAAGTAATGATACAGTGTTTGGATGACAGTATGGCCAACAGAAACAATCTCCCATAATCTTCATACCTGAGTGTAGTGGGTGATGAAATAGGGAGATAGAGTTATTTACCAACATAGCATCCTAAACTAATAACAACCAAATTTACTCATCTCCTCTCTTTCTGATAAGGTACATTCTGAAATGGAATAACTTTATATCAGATCCAGTATGATGGAAGGATCTATTGATTTAAGAAAGCTACCTGATAAAAATTTAATTTAGCTAACTTTGTTAAACAGAGAGGTATATAAGGGCACATCCAAAATATTGCCATTTAAAATTATAAATTTATAATATATAGTGTGCATTTCATTATTCTGTTGATTGATGTTTATTTTGTAGGTAAGTTACCAGAATATTGTTCAAGCCTCCGTACTTCTCAAAGACTTTCCTGTATGACATTCAAGAACAATATGCCCATCATTCCTCCCATGGCAAAAGTCATCATCAACAATATTAGCATCAAGATCATCATTAAAATTATGATCATAATCACCCTTGTTATAGCAAATAAACTAACCAGAAGCCACCATTTGAGTTTTATCCGTGGCTTAAGTCATATCTATGGCACTTTCCTGCCTTTTAAGAAATAATATTCAAAATTAAGGATGTGAAATAGTGAAAAACAGCTAATATTTTAAAAACATATTTCATATATGTATCTTAAATCATAAGAATATAAGAACACATGACAAAATTTTTATATATTTTTAATTTTGTATTGCTTATTTTTAAAATGTCATACTGAAGCCCTTCTATGTGATCTTATTCAGTATCCTTGAACATTATCATTGCTAGTCTATTATCATAAAGAGTCTTTCAATGGAAAATAAGTTAAAATTAGGGAGCTGAATGTATAAAAATGTTGGCAGTAGGATAAATATCACTTGTAGTACTGAGATTAAAAATGGGTAAGTAGGGGCGCCTCGGTGGCTCAGTCGTTAAGCGTCTGCCTTCAGCTCAGGTCATGATCCCGGGGTCCTGGGATTGAGCCCCACATCAGGCTCCCTGCTTGGCGGGAAGCCTGCTTCTCCCTCTCCCACTCCCCCTGCTTGTGTTCCTTCTCTCACTGTGTCTCTCTCTGTCAAATAAATAAAATCTTTAAAAAAAATGGGTAAGTATAACTACAGACAAGAAAGATGTGAGTAGAGATTCACTGAAGCTCAGTCACAAGCAAAACATAATAGGTGGAAAATCACTGTTGCCAAAGGAACTGAATATTCCATAGCCATAAGAAATTTTATTGAGCCATATTTTTAAGCAAAGTTTATAGGCAAAATATATGCCCAGGAGGCATATTTCAATTGTGATAGACCCTTGAATAGTGACTATAACAACAGGTAATTTATTTGGAGAAAGACTATACTTACAGTCCAAAGCATAACATTCACCTGTGAAAACTGGCCTTTATAATCCTATCTGAACATGCAGATCACACTTTCCACTCAAACCATGCCCATCACTAAAAAATGAGAGGATAACAGATTATGTTTATCATTAGGGACCAGGATACAACCATGTTGAACATCGCTTAAACTAATCCGTGTTTAGGAGAATGATGATCAAGAAAGAGTCAACCAAGAATTATACAAGTGGAGGATCAATTGACATATGTCAGGGACTAAAACACAGAATAAAGAGAAAGGTAAACAGAAGGCAGTACAAAGGAACTAGCCCTCCTTTTGATTCAGGGACACTAAATGGAGAAGCATCCAGTAGAGAACACAGATAATTTTATGGTAGTACTCCCCACGTGTTTGTCTTTTCAGTTTCTTTTTTTTACTTGTTTTTTTTTTTTTAAGATTTTATTTCTTTATTTGACAGAGAGCGACACAGCGAGAGAGGGAACACAAGCAGGAAGAATGGGAGAGGGAGAAACAGGCTTCCCGCGGAGCAGGGAGCCCGATGTGGGGCTCTGAGCCGAAGGCAGACGCTTAACGACTGGGCCACCCAGGTGCCCTGTCTTTTCAATTTCTTAATGGTGGCATTTAGAGGTCATTTAATTTTGTTCAAGTTTAAATTATTAAATTTTTATTATGAATTATGCTTTTGACGTTTGTCTAGGAAATCTTTGCTCAACCTAAGGCCAAGAAGATTTTCTCTTATTTTTTTTATTCTAGAGGTGTCATAGTTTTGCCTGTTGCATTTAGGTCCATGGTCCAGCACCATTTCTTGATAAGACCAGACTTTCTCAGTTGGGTTACCTTGGCACATTTGTCAAAAATCAATTGGCACAGATTTACTATTTTAAGATGGCAAAATTCCAAAAATTGATCTACAGATTCAACACAATCCTTATCAACATCCCAGTTGTTTTATTCTTTTTTTTTTAGAATTTGACAAGCTAATCATAAAATTCATGAAGAACTGAAAAGAATCGAGAACATCCAAAACAATTTTGCAAAAGGAGAATGAAATTGAAGGAATCACTCTTCCTGATTTTAACACTTACTACAAAATTATAATAATCAAGATAGTGTGGAATTGGATTAAGAAAGGCATATCAATGAAATAGAATTGCAAGTCCAGAAATAAACCCTTACACTTATGGTCAATTGATATTCAACAAGGGTACCAAGTCCATTCAATGGAAAAAGAAAATTCTTTTCAACAAAAGGTTCTGAAAAAGCTGGATATCCACATGCCAAAAAAAAAAAAAAATGAACTTGGAACTCTTCTTTATACCATACATAAAAATAAACTTGAAATGATCATGGTCCTAATTGTAACAGTTAAAATTATAAAACTCTTAGAAGAAAATATAAGAGTAAATTTTCATGACCTTGGATTAGGCAAAGCCTTTGGAGATAATGACAACAAGTGACAGAATAAATATTAAATAAGTTGGACCTCATCAAACTTAAAAACTTTTGGGCTGCAAACTATATCATCAAGAAAGCAAAAAGATAGTCTACAGAATAGGAGAAAATATTTGTAAGTCATATATCTGATAAGGGAATTATATCCAAAATATGTAAAGAACTGCTACAACTCATTAATAAAAAGACAAACAATCCAAGTAAAATATGGGCAAAGAATCTGAATAGACATTTCTCCAAAGAAGATACACAAATGACCAATAAACACATGAAAAGATGCTCAACATTAAAACACTAGCCATTAGAAATATGGAAATAAAAACCATAATGAGATACTACTTCAAGTCCATAAGGATAGTTATACTAAGAAGACAGATAAGTATAGGTAGAGATATGGAGAAATTGGAACTCTCACACATTGGTGGTCAGAATATAAAAGGGTGCAGCCAGTTTGGAGAACTGTTTGGCAGTTCCTCAAAATGTTAAACACAGAGTTACCATAAGAACCAGTAATTCTACTCCTCAATAAATATCCACAAAAAAATGAAAACATGTGTCCACACAAATACTTGTACAGAAATATTCATAGCAGAGTTATTAATAGTAACCAAAATGAGAAAACAACTCAAGTGTCCATCAACTGATGAATGGATAAATCAATGTGATATATCCTTACAATGGGATATGACTCTGCCAACTGACTTTTTACAAAGATGTAAAAACAACTCAGTGAAGAAAACTTTTCAACAAATGGTTCTGAAGCAATTCAACATCCAAAGTCAAAAATTTGAATTTCAACCTGAACCTCCTATCTTATACAAAAATTAAGTCAGAATGGGTCACAAACTTAAATGTAAAATTATAACACTTTTGGAATAAGACACAGGGGAAAATCTTCAGGATCTAGGACAAAACAAGCAGTTCTTAGACTTTATACCAAAAGCACAATCTATAAATATAAAAACGGACAAACTGCTCCACAAGAAAATTTAAAACTTTTGGGACACCTGAGTGGCTCAGTCGGTTAAGTGTCTGCCTTCGGCTCAGATCATGATCCCAGGCTCCTGGGATCAAGTCCCACATGGGGCTTCCTGCTCAGCAGGGAGCCTGCTTCTCCCTCTGTCCCTCCCCTTGTTTGTGCTCTCTCTTTCTGACAAACAAACAAATAAATAAAATCTTAAAAAAAATTTTTTTTAAACTTTTGTGTATTAAAAAAACCCTTTAGGGGCCTGGGTGGCTCAGTTGTTAAGTGTCTGCCTTCGGCTCAGGTCATGATCCCTCTGCGGGGAGCCTGCCTCTCCCTCTCCCACTCCCCCTGCTTGTGTTCCTTCTCTCGCTGTGTCTCTCTCTGTCAAATAAATAAATAAAACCTTGAAAAAAAATAAAAAATCCTTTAAAGAGGATGAAAAGAGAAGCTACAGATTGGATGGAAATATTTGCAAAACATATATCCAAGAACTCTAGATTCTACAAGAAATCTACATTCTAATATCTAGAATGTATAAGCAGCTTTCACACTCAACAGTAATAAAACAGACAAGCTAATTAGAAAATAGACAAAAGACATGAACTGAAGAGCTTATAGAGACAGCAAATGTGTTCATGAAAAGATGTCCAAAATCATTAGCAATTAGGGAAATGCAAAAAATGCAAAATGTATCACTACATTCCTATCAGAATAGCTAAAATAAAAAATATTGGCAACATCAAATACTGGTGAGCATTTGGGAAAGCATCACCCATACGTTGTTGGTGGGAATGTAAAATAATACAGCCATTCTTTAAAATAACTTGGCAGTTTCTCATGAAACTACACACTTAACAGCCATATGACCTCACAATTGCAGTTTCGGGCATTTATCCGAATGAAGTGTAGTATATGAAGTTCAAGCTAAGGGGAAAGGCTGAGACTGAGGCTGCTTATTGTCAGCGCTACCCACTCTACCTTTCTTCCTAACTTCAGCTCAGCCTGAATATTTTCTACTTGAATGATTTGGACAAAAATTGTGGAGAGGGAATGGGAGAAAAGAGGAGTGAGCTTTATCTCAGATTGTGCAGTGAAATCCCTAAGCATATGATTTCCATAGCACTTATATTCTGATAGTTTAGTAAATTAAAAAAATACAAAAAATATTAAATTGCAAAGTGCCAAAGATGTATATAAAGATGTTCTTTGTAAAAGCTAATACTTTTTGCTCATATTTTTCAAAGATTTATTTATTTATTTGAAAGAGAGAAGTCTTTGACAAAGCAGGAAAAAATATGCAATGGAAAAAAGACAGTCTCTTCAATAAATGGTGCTGGGAAAATTGGACAGCTATACACAGAAGAATGAAACTCAGACACTAACACCATACACAAAGATAAACTCAAAATGGATGAAAGACCTCAATGTGAGACAGGAATCCATCAAAATCCTAGAAGAGAACATAAGCAGTAACCTCTTTGACACTGGCCACAGCAACTTCTTTCAAGATACATCTCCAAAGGCAAGTGAAACAAAAGGGAAAATGAACTTTTGGGACTTCATCAAGATAAAAACTTCTGCACAGCAAAGGAAACAGTCAACAAAACAAAAAGGCAACCCACAGAATGGGAGAAGATATTTGCAAATGACACTACAGACAAAGCGCCGATTTCCAAGATCTATAAAGAACTTCTCAAACTCAACACCCAAAAAACAAATAATCAAGTCAAAAAATGGGCCGAA